CTTGCATTTCCTCTACGATACAAGCGACCGACGTAAATGTCTTTGAATCACCCAAGTAGAGGTTGCAGTTCCTTGGGTAGTTGTTCAGTCAGTCGGTCGACTGCTTAATCCCATGCAGTTCGCCCAAATGCTTCTCCATGCTTCAGATGGTAGAAATAACCATGAAGTTCAACATCTGATAATGTGTTTTTCATCGCATGCATCGGCGCAATTTCGAAATCGCAAGAAATCGAACTGGCACAAATTTCAGGTACCGCAGCTCTTAACATCTGAAAGCGCATGTTGTACAACGCTGTCTGCTTGTCTGGCAAAAACGCGTATACAACAAGATTGACTCCACCAAACCTTTCTGGCAGCACTGTATAGACTTGAGGAAACAATGGCGGTGCAGGTCGACGTTTCGTCGGTAAACCACATGCTTGATTCTCGCAAGATTTGCAAGTTTCTCTGAGTGCCAAGCATCTATCGATTGGGACCAGTTCATTGTCACCAATCAAGAACGATTCAAAGACATTTGGCTGCCATTAATACCTTTTATATGACTCCGGCAGAACTAGTCCTTAGATCTATGGGAACTAACGGAGCGGAATTCACCTTATTTCTTCTTAGTATTACAATCTTCTTAAGAAATCGAAGCTGTTGAAGTGAACCCTGAGCAATCCAACCGCGCACTCGTTCATAACTTGCATGAGCGCTTCCAATATGTCTCCGGTATGCCTTCTGATCTTCGTCACAAGTTCTGCTCTTCCACACCCGCTGCCGAACTATCATGAGAATGTTCACCCACCTTCATGACAACGTTGCTTTGCACATACTCTTCTGTTCACAAAGCCAAAATTTCTTTGTTCCGTCAACACTACTCCTGTCAACGACGTAGCAAACGCCCTCTTAGGAAAACGCATCTCGGTTTGAAGGCAGCATTACAAACAACCTAGACACACGCAGTCGCTCAAGTCTCCCGTTTTCCGATAAAATTCATGTGCTTAGTATAAACAGAGCTGGAAACGTGATAGCAAAAATGATCTGTCCAGGCAGTGCCCGTTTAACAACATTACCGCGCTCGAAATTAATGACCTTGAGCAGTTAAAATATGGAATCCTGAAAAGAAACGAAAACATTCGAAATTCGTAAGTTGACAGTGGGTTCGTACTGTGCTTTCAGTAAGATTCTAACTGATATGCAACAGGATAATATAAGTAGCAAACGCCATGGAATTATGCATAACGAAATTGTATACAATAAAGTGGCTAACTTAGCGAAGTGAAAGAGAATGAACTAGCATAATCGCGCAGTCATAAAAAACAGTAATACCCAAAATTCACTAATTTAATAGATATTTAGAATTATATTCACTGAAAACTACTGGTTTACATGTAAATAATGAAAAACTCGGAAAAGGTACAGAGGCATACATTTGTTAATGTGTACAGACAAACTCGTAACCGTACGATGCGTGCTAAATTAATGAGTTCTCGCAGTCAAAAAATGGAATCATTACGTCAAACGAATATCTTAAAAATCCAGTAGTCTGATCGAAGTTCCGCATAGTGTCAATGGAGAGCTTTTCATATGTAATTTGGTGGGTGGAATCTAATAGCTGACTGAGATGACCAAAGTGCAATCATATAGAATCAAACGCGCGCCACAGGACTGAACGTTGATTACGACCATCGATCGGTGCCGAAACGGCCCGAGCTGAATCGTCCTATTCCGCTGCAGAGGATTATGGTAACGTGTTAGTTCAGGAAAAAGTGTAGCTTTCACCAGGGTGGAAGAGGCAATCGCATGCCATAATCGATGGGAACAGTCTGTCTGGAACAGCAAATCACTACTGCTGCTGAAGAAACACCTATTGTACGAGTCTCTTTGTTAACTTTAATCGCAACAACTGGTGTTTCGCACAGCTTAGAATAGCCAGCGCTAATCAAAGAGGCCTGTATTGGAAGAATGCCAAAGATTAAAGCCTATAAGACATCAACAGAAGCTTAACTTAACTTGGACACTTAAAATCTCGTCGATGAGGGCAGAAACAGCGACGGCGAACTGATGACGAAAAATTGATGACACCCAACTGGACTGTGATTGCCTTCTCATAAGCATAAATGTCGATACAGCAGCGACCTGGTGCAAATCTGGGCGCCTGTCTTCAGGCTTCTGTTGTTTCTTTTTTTGCCTTAAACGACAATGTCAGCTGCGGCAAAGATAGGAGATACTACTTTAAAC